CAGATTATTTAGGAAACGGGATCTCGCTGCCTTTCGTGGCCCCGTTGCAGCGCTTCGTGGCTCCCTCGCTGCCCTTTGTGGACCCGTTGCAGCCCTTCGTGGCCCCCTCGCTGCCCTTCATGGTCCCGTTGCAGCCCTTCGTGGCCCCCTCGCTGCCCTTCGTGGCCCCCTCGCTGCCCTTCGTGGCCCCCTCGCTGCCCTTCGTGGCCCCGTTGCAGCCCGGCCCCATATATATCTGCCGTTCGTGGCCCCGGCTCGTTCGCGCCAGTCGTGGCCCCGCTGTCGCCCTTCGTGGCCCCCTCGCTGCCCTTCGTGGCCCAGTTGCTGCCCTCAGTGGCCCGGCCTTTGCCCTCCGCGGCCCAAGAATGGAGGATGACGGTTAATAAATGACCAGGGGTCGTGTTCACGCGGCGGCGCCCGGGATGACGATTAGAAAAAACCGGCCGCGGGTTGGAAAACTATTTCTTTAACGTTCTCCTCCAGTCAGAAAATTATGCAGAAATCGCAGACAACTATTTGTTTTAATAGTTCTCTCAAATTTTTTAATAATCGTCATCCCGCATTATATGTATGCCCGTCGTGGCCCCCGCTCATTCGCGCCCGTCGTGGCCCCCATGTGCATGCCCTTCGTGGCCCCGCTGTCGCCTTTCGTGGCCCCCTCGCTGTCCTATGTGGCCCAGTTGCTACCCTCAGTGGCCCCGTCGTTGCCACCGGTGGCCCCGCATTATCTGCCCTTCGTGGCCCCGCTCGTTCGCGCTCTTCGTGGCCCCATACGCATTCCCTTCGTGTCAACGCTGTCGCCTTTCGTGGCCTACTTCGTGACCTTGGTGGCCCCGCTGTCGTTCTCTCTCTCTCTCTCTCTCGCTCTCGCTTTCGCTCGTCGTCGTCGTCGCCGTCGTCGTCGTCATCGTCGTCGACGTCGTCGTCGTCGACGTCGTCGTCGTCGTCGTCGTGGTCGGTCCCCTGTCCGTCCCTCTTGGGGTCGGGTTGCCGCCGATCAGCGCTGCCGCTGGCCAGGCCGACGGTCCGCGGCCGCCCCGTCGCTTGCTGGGGCCCGGCCCGCAGGGAAGAAAAGTTTACCCCCCAAAAGGGGTACGATCGAAGACGAAGAGGGCGGGCATCGAGGGTTTGGAAAATACGCGTTAACAGACACTCGAGCAGATAAGAGCGAACAGTCTTAAAATGATTGTTGTTGTTATTTGTTGTCGTCGTCCCCCCTGCGACCCAACCGCGGCCCACCCGCGACCCACCCGCGACCCACCCCGCGACCCACCCCGCGACCCACCCCGCGACCCAGCCCGCGACCCACCCGCGACCCACCCGCGACCCAGCCCGCGACCCACCCGCGACCCAGCCCGCGACCCACCCGCGACCCACCCGCGACCCACCCCGCGACCCACCCGCGACCCACCCGCGACCCACCCGCGACCCATGCGCGACCCACCCGCGACCCGGCCCGCGACCCTACCGCGACCCACCCGTGACCCACCCGCGACCCACCCCGCGATCCAGCCACATTGCTTTACCGAGAAGATCGGCGCCTGCGGCGGGCTCAACGCATAATTTTAAAAACTTAGGCGCCTGCGATGGGCTTCTTCAGAGCCTCTCAGACTGACGGCGTCCTCGCCGCCCCTTGACTCCTATCCGCAACTTCGGGGTGCTACGGTATTCGCGCCAGGGCCTTGTCGAAGACATAGATTATCGGCACCCCTGGATACATGCATTGCTCCCCCCCTGGGCTTTTTTGCCCCCATCGTCGCCTCCGATTCCACCCCTGTGCCCAAGGAGGTGCTGGAGGTGCCGAAGCCGCGAGAGCTGCCTGTGCCGCCAAGGGAGCCACTGGAGCCTCCAAGGCTGATCACGCGGCAGCCGCGGGAGTTGCTCGTGGCGAAGCCTCTGGAGGCGAACGTTCCGCAGCTCCTGGAGGTGATCGTGCCGCAGCCTCCGTACAGTGCCGTTTTTTTATACATGCTCCGCGTGCGGATCTTGTATCAAATATTCAGGGATTTAGCATTAAAACCAACGATGAGTTCATGCATATATTTATTATTCATACATTAAGCATTCCTAAAAATCCGATATTTCCAACAATCCTATGTAGTAAAAACTGCCCTGTAGTGTGTAGCTCGCCGCTCACAGGATGAGGCGACTGGATGAGGCGACCAGGCCCGCGCGGCAGTGGGCGGACATGGGGTTGACCCAAAAGGGGGTCCAGCGACAGCGGGGTGGTGCAGTAGATTTGGTGGAATAGATTTGTGGGGTTGCAATACATTTGGGGCGTGCAATACATCCCGGGGCGCCAATGTATTGTTTGGCTCTCGCGTGCAGTGCACAATTTGCAATACAATGCGACACAATTCCCCGGCTCAGTACATGCGCAATACAGTTACCCCAAATCCATGCACCACCCCCTCTCAGCTGGACCCTTTTTTTTGGTCACCCAAAGGACAGAGAGCCCAAGTTTCTCGCCCAAGCAGTTGATTGTTTCAAGGACGACGCTGCGCCTGCAGCCATGGACAAGCTGGCCTTTGTTCAGGCCCTTCCTCAGACCGGCAGCGTGGCGCATTCGCCGCTGCTGCGGATTCACGCTGGCATCGCAGCGCGGAGCGTGCCGGAGGTGCAGGCAGGCATGCAGGATGCCGATAAAAATGGCGTGGAGCTCGCCCCGTTCGCCAGATGATCATGCTGTGGCTCTCCGACAGTGATCTGTATAGTGCAGGACCGTAGCCCTGGGCTTTCGCGCGCTGCACGTTTTTGTTTGTTTTGTTTTGCATATGTGTGCTGTGCTCGCGTGCCATGTGGTGTTCGGTCTCACTCCCCGTGCGGGACTTCGAGGCCGTTCGCCTGGGTATCCAGAGACTCTTCTCTGGGTCAACTTTTTTGCGCGTTGCACGTGTGTGTTCAGGGACGCCGCGCCAGAGACGCCCTCTTGAGCCCAGGGAGGGTGCTCCAGAGGCGTTCCCTCTAAAGGCTATTGTTACTTGCCCCTTCCCGCTCCATCGCTGAACAAACCTGTATATCCAGTCGGGGGTGCCCAGTCTGTTCTACCCCATCCTTTCTATGACCATCCCCTCCCCCTCTTTCTTGCTGCTCGCTCGCCTCGCTGGGATTCAGTCTAGCCCACGGGGCTGTTGTCTGACGCTGGGAGGTGGGGAGGGCAGAAGGTGGGAGCGGGAATGGCACTGTGAGTTTTACACCAGCCGGGCAGGGCGGCACTGCAGGCGACAGTGATACTTGGACATCGCATGCGCTATACGTTCCATCCTCGTGGCTCCACGAGGAGCCCGTCGCGGCGCCGAGGTTCTCAACGCTCCCGTCCGCCGAGTCGATCCGATCCGATGCCCTCCCCTCTTTTTTGTGTCCGTCCTCTGTCCGCTCCCCATCTCCTCTCCCCGTCCCCCTCCCCGCCTCTATCCCCATCTCCCCTGCCCCTTCTCCTCCACCCCTCCCCTCTTCCGATTCCAGTCCCCCTGCTCTCCACCGGGCTCTCCCCGAACGGGGAGTGGAAGGAGAGGGCAGGATGCAGATTGGGAGGTGGAGGGGGATGAGTACTTCGCAGGAGGAGGTAGACAAGAAGGCGGGGGACTAAGAAGAAGCAGGACGAGGAGAAGGAGGCGGAAGAGGAATACACACACACGATGGGGATGATGGCGACAATAATGATGTTGATACCAGTAACGATGATGACGATGATGATGAGGATTAGGATGATGCTGTTGATGATGATGATGATGATGATGATGATGATGATGATGATGATGATGATGATGATGAGGTTGAGGTTGATGCTGATGCTGCTGATGATACCGATGCTGATGATGATTCTGATGGTGCTGCTGATGATGGTTATGCTGATGATAGTGCTGATGATGCTGTTACTGATGATGATGGTTATGACGGTAATCATGATGATGATGTTGATGTTGTTGATGATGATGATAACGATGATGATGATGATACGGATGATGATGATGATGATGATGATGATGATGATGATGATGACGATGATGATGATGCTGATGATGATGATGACGATGATGATGATGATGATGATGATGATGATGATGATGGTATTGAGGATGTTGAGGCTGCTGATGATGCTGACGATGCCGATACTGATGGTGATAACGGTGATGCTGATTGTGATGTTGATGCTGCTATCGGTGATGCGGATGTTGGTGGTGCTAATGATGATGGTGATGACGATGATGATGGTGATGGGAATGATGGGAGTGATGAGAAAGGTAAGTCTGCCGATGATCCTGATGATGATGGTGATGGTGCCGATGATGCCGATGACGATGGTACTGATGATGCTGATGATGGTGATTATGATGATGATCATGCTGATGATGCTGATGATGACGATGGTAATTATGATGAGGCTGTCGATGATGATGATGATGATGACGATGATGATGATGATGATGATGATGATGATGATGATTGTGATGGTGGTGATGGATGGTGATGTTTGTATGATGAAGATGTATGACGCTGGTGGTGATGATAACGATGGACGATGACGATGATGATGATGATGTTGATGCTGTTGATGTTGATCATTATGGTGATGATGACGCCGGTGATGATGCTGATCATGATGATACTGCTGATGGTGGTGATGATGTTGGTGATGCTGGTTATGCGGATGATGATGATGACGCTGCTGCTGTTGCGCATGGCGATGTCGATGTAGAGGGCGATGATTAGGATGACGATGATGACGACGATGACGATGATGATGATGCTGATGATGATGATGATGGTGGTGGTGGTGATGATGATGACGATGATTGTGATTACGAGTGCGGTGCTTTGGCGATGCGCAGGAAGGCTTGTAATCTAACGGCGATGAAGACACGGCCATACGGAGGAGTAAAGGGAGGACATGGCATGGAACTCCGTGGGTATGAGGGATCAGTGTGGAGGGGTACGAAAAGCAGAAGCAGGTCACGGGAGCCCCCCCCCTGCGTTTCAGAGCCGCCGTCGCCGCCCAGGCTGTATCCGCCCTCCATGGCGCTCAAGATCGAGGACATGTATACACATACGTATATATATATACACAATATAAACATATGGCCTGCCACAGATGTCATGTGTATCGTTGCCTTCTTCTTTTGCGAGGAGGATGAGGATGTGAAGTTGAAGATTGAAGACGTTGATTGTGATATTATGGTTGGCTACGTGGGGTGGGCAGGCCCTGCGCTGCATCGCAGAAACGAGCTTAATGCTTCCTCGCTCCTCATCTTCTTCTTTCTCTTCCTTCCCCTCCTGACCCCCTCCTTCCCTCGTTCCTCCTCTCCTTTTTTCCTCCGCCTCCTCCTCCTCCCAGTTCCTCCTCCCCCTGATCCACATCCTCTCCATTTTTGTGTTTAAGCATGCTGTTCTTGTTCCCTCTGCCCTCACTTCGGTTGCAGGTGGTGCAACAGGTGTGTCGGAGGTGAGGGGGTGAGATCGAAGTGGAACGGAGAGCCCCCCTACCGGGAAATCGATTTCGGTTTCGTGTTCGTGCGTGCCGTGCGTGCGGGCGAGGCGAAGCTGCGTGGGCGGGCGAGAGAAAGTCTCCTGTGGCTGAGGCGCGGCCGGACCAAATGATTCTCCACCGGGCGGCCGGTGGCCCGCGGTGTCCCGCCGGTGTCCCGCGAAAGTCCCGTGTGGCTGAGGCGCGGCCGGACCAAATGACTCCCTTCCGGGCGGCCGGTGGCCCGCGGTGTCCTGCCGGTGTCCCGCGAAAGTCCCGCGGTGTCCCGCGGTGCCCCGCGGTGTCCCGCCGGTGTCCCGCGGTGTCCCGCGATGATGATGATGATGATGATGATGATGATGATGATGATGATGATGATGATGATGATGATGATGATGATGATGATGATGATGATGATGATGAGATAATGATGATGATGGTGATGATGATGGTGATGCTGATGATGATGCTGGTGCTGATGCTGATGATGATGACGTCGATGATGATGATGGTGATGCTGCTGATGATGATGATGAGGACGATGATGATGATATGATGATGGTGTTCCGATGATGATGATGATGATGATGTCGATGATGATGATGACGATGATGATGATGATGCTGATGGTGTCCCGATGATGAGGATGATGATGATCATGATGATCATGATGATCATGATGATGACGATGATGGTGTCCCGATGGTGATGAGTATGATGATGTTGATGTTGGTGATGCTGATTATGATTGTGTCCCGATGATGATGATGTTGATGATGATGAGGTTGATGATTATGGCGTCCCGATGATGATGATGATTATTCTGATGGTGATTGTGATGATGTTGATGATGGCGTCCCGATGGTGATGATGATGATGATGTTGATGCTGATGTTGTTAATGATGATGACGGTGCCCCGATGATGACGACGATGATGATGATGCTGATAATGATGTTGATGATGCTGATGATGATGATGATGATGATGTCGATGATGAGGATGAGATGATGATGATGGTGTTCCGATGATGATGATGCTAACGATGGTGATCATGATGGTGTCCCGGTGATGATGCTGCTGATGATGATGATGACGATGACTGTGTCCCGATGCTGCTGATGATGATGCTGATGATGATGATTGTGATGATGGTGATGATGATGATGATGATGGTGGTGTCCCGATGATGTTGATGACCGTGATGATGATGATGATGATGTTGGGGTTGATGATGAGGACGGTGTCCCGATTATGATGATGACGGTGATGATGATGATGATGTTGATGTTGATGTTGTTGTTGATGATGATGATGATGATGACGTTGATTGTGAGAGCGGTTGTGATATCGATAGTGAAATCGATAGTGAGACCGAATGTGATATCGATGGTGAGATCGATTTTGAGATCGATAGTCAAATCAATTGTGAGATAGATCGAGTGAGATCGATTGTGAGATCGATCGAGGGAGATCGATCGAGCGAGACCGATACTGAGATCGATAGTGAGATCGATAGTGAGACCGATCGAGTGAGACGTTGGTTCCTCCCCCCCCCGAACCTCCTTATCACCCGAAGGGTGGTCGTATAGGTATGTGTGTGCATATATGGGATAAGGTGTGTATGATGTATGTGCGCATGTACATGTGCGTGTGTGTCTTTGTTCGCGCGCTCGTGTGTGTATGTGTGTGTGGCGGTCGTGGGTGTGGGGTCGTATGGGGGGGTTGTATGGGTGGGCACCGGGGAGGGGTACGGAACAAATGAGGTGGGGCGGACATGGGAAGAGGCAGGGAAATTGGGCGAGGGGGGGAGGGGGGCGGGAAGAGGGCGAGAGAGAGGGAGAGAGAAAGCGAGAGAGAGAGAGAGAGAGATGGAGAGAGAGGGATATATATAGAGAGAGAGAGAGAAGTTGAGAACGAGAGAGAGAGAGGGAGAGAGAGAGGAAGAGAGAGGGAAAGAGAGGGGGAGAGAGGGAGAAAGGGTATAAAGGGGAGCACGGGTTGAGGGCAAGGGAAGGGAGGACGTAGTTGCAAGAGTCACACATGGGACGGCAAGGATGTCGGGGGAGATGGGGGAAGTGGGAGGGGCAGGGGAGGGAGATGTTGACGGAGTGAGAGAATGGGGAAGGAGGGGTGGGAGATGGAGGAGGAGGACGAGGAGGAGGAAGCTGAGGCGGAGGAGGACGAGGAGGAAGGGAAGAGAAGAAATATGATGCTGAGTCATATGAAGACGAGGAGGGGTGGTGGAGGAGGAGGAGGAAGAAGAGGAGGAGGAGGCGGAGGAGGCGGATGAGGAGGAATTGAAACAGCCACGACCAGGTAGAGGGTAAGGAGCCGGATGGTAGGATCGCAAACGGAGGGAAACGTCGTCCCCATCCTTCCCCCCCTCCTCCTCCCCCCCTTCCCCACAGATTCCTCCTCTTTGCCCTCGTTGTCGCCGCTGTCGTCCTCCTCGGGCTTGCGGCGCCCGCCTCTCCCCCCGCGGGCAGGAGGCGATCGGCCTCGAGGAGGACATCGGGAAGCTCGTCCAGCCGTCGCTGTACGTGGGGATGAAGCCGCAGGAGCGCGGCCCTCAGCGGCCGCTCGGACCATCCCAAGGGGGATGGGGGAGGGAGGGGGAGGGAGGGGGGAGGGGGAAGTAGGGGGGATTCTGTGCGCGTGTGTGTGTGTGTGTGTGAAGGCATGGGGGAACGGAGCAGGAGGATGCGGAGGAGGAGAGGGAAGGATGATGCGGATGAGTAGTAGGAGGAGGAGGAGCAGGAGGAGCAGGCGGAGGAGGAGGAGGAGGAGGAGGAGGAGGAGGAGAAGGAGGAGGAGACGGAGGAGGAGGCGGAGGAGGAGGAAGAGGAGGAGACGGAGGAGGAGGCGGAGGAGGAGGAGGAGGAGGAGGAGGAGGAGAAGGAAAACGATGTTCAAGGCTCAGGCTTCAGATCTGAGATGCGGTCTGGGCCGCGGCCCCCGCGCCCTTGCCTGTCGCGCGCGGGCCGCCGACCTGGGCGCCCACGGCAGAAAATGCGGTCGGGCCCCATATGGGCGAGGACGAGGACGGGAATTCGGAGGAGGAACGGGTACCCATAGCGATACCCGTCCCTCGTTTTCTCCTTTTTCTGGGCCTCCTGAGACCCCCTCGTCGCCACCGCCGGATTCGTCTCGACATTCTGTCCTGAACGCGCCCCGGCAGAGGTCCGGGGAGAAGCGGTAGCGGGTACCTTTTTGTCGCCCCAGTGATGACGAGGCCCTGTTGGACCTGATGGATTTGGCCCGAAGGTCAGCCCAGAGCGATCGTCGCAGCGATCGTGAGACGCATCGAGACATACGGGCCATCTTGGCACACCCGAACAGCAACCCGCAAATGGTTTTGTCACCGATGCGCCGGCCGACATCTTCACCTGAGGAAGTGGAGGGATCAGGAGGAGACGGGGGAGGCTGGCGAGGAGGAGGCGAAGGCTGGGTGTAGATGCTGGCCCCTCGGCCTCCAGAAAATGCCGATGGCAAAGCCAAGTCGGGCTTAGACAGACATGCGTTTCCTCGCAAAGGCTACCAACACCACAAGGCCAGTCAGTCGAGCCAACCTGCAGTGGCGGTCCGATCGGTGTAGCCTCAAGCATTCAGCGCATCCACCATACAAGGAACATCGTTTACGAGAACTTATGAGCAGGCTGCCGCCAGCTCCCGATAGCTAGATCGAACCCGGGCGAGCTACGAGCGAAGAGTGGATCGTCGTGTGCCCAGGGGCACTGCGCCCCAACAGATCACAGGCGGCTCAAAATTTGATTACACGGGTGGAGCCACCCAGCACCCACGTTGCGCCGGTTGGCAACCGTTGCCATGCATCTGGACATGACATTGGCCTGGCAGCGGAGAGGGATGGATGACGATGATGATGATGATGCTGCTGATAATGATGGTGATGACGATGAGGAGGAGCTGGTTGATACTTTTTATGATGACTATGATGGTGATGCTGATGATGATGCCGGTAGTGGTGCTGATGGTGGCGGTGCTGATGATGATGGTGGTAATGATGATGATGAGTATGATGCTGCTGATGATGATGATGATGATGATGATGATGATGATGATGATGATGATGATGATGATGTTGGGGATCTGATTACGAGGATGTGGATGATAATGATGATGCTAATTGTGAGGATTCTGATGATGCTGATGATGATGCTACTGATGATGAGGAGGAGGAGGAAGAGGAGGAATCAGACGAGGAGGAGGAGGAGCACCAGCAGCAGCGTGGAGGGGTTGCATGGTGCCCTTACACTGGTTGTCATTATCATCAGGTGTGGCATCCAGGCGATAGCGCTTTGCACCTGCCCGCTGCCATGTCTTGCCTCGCCTCAGCCCGACAGACCCGCGGCGCCAGCTCGGACGGGGCCAGGATGAGGACAACGTCCGTTCCAGAGCGTTCCAGAACGCTCCGAGGAGGCCGCGGTGCCTGAGAAAAAATAACATAACACAAAATGAAACTTGATCGCATTACATTGTTAAGCCTTCATTACCACCGGCCCGTGTGGAGGTTTATTATTATTATTATTATTATTTTTATAATTATTATTATTATTATCCTTCTTCTTCTTATTCTTATTATTATCATCATTATCATCATTATCATCATTATTATTATTGTCTTTTTTGTTTGTTGTTTTTTATTTACAAAAAAAAAAAAACGGCCCGACGCGGGCTCTTCCGCCCCCGACCCGCGGCACCTGCCGGGCGCGCGGCTGCAGGCCGTGCACGCCTCGGGGGACGCTGTGGCGTGCACGCCCGCGGGGCGAAGCTCTGCCGGCGGCCCCCGGCGGGGCCTCGGCTGGGCCCCGGGGCCGCCCACAAAAACGGCCCAGGAGGAACATCGGGCGCAGTTCTCGGGTCCCTCCCCCACCAGGAAACAAAACCAAGGCCTCGACAAATTTGTTTTGTATTTTTTTGCCATATTGATTGGTGGGAACAAATGCGGTCGTCGCCGCGCGCTTGCCCTGATTTAGCAATGTCGGTCGCTCGGACGCGTGCATCCTTCCGGCGAGGACCATCGGGGAGCATTTTGGCTCACCTTGCGGAAAAGTAGACGCACGAAGCCGCACGACGCACTGGGGACGGGCGTCCGAGCGATGGCAGGGTCGACGTCCGCACGGACAACGAAGAAGGTGGACCGACCACCTGTGAGGGTCGGGCCGGACGAAAGGGGGGGGGTTGGGGAAAGGGGGGTACGAAATTTGCTGCATTAGCTGGTTTCGGCCCCGCCGCCGAGCCCATTCCTCGATACATGGGCGCCTCCGGGCGCCGGGAGGCGCTGGAAAAATCAGCTACGTGAGCCGATTCTCTACCCTGCCCTTTGCTATCCCCCCCTTTCGCCCGGCCCGAGAAGAGCCAGTCCCGGGGAAGGGGTCGCGACTTGCGGGGACCGCGTGCTGCAAATGCAAAAAAGCAGGACGTCACATGTCTGGGGAGGAAGAAGGAGGAGGAAAGAGGAAGGAGGAAAGAGGAAGGAGGAAGGAAGCAGAAGGGGAGGAGGAAGGAGGCGGAGGAGGAGGAGGAGGAGAAGGGAGGAAGAGGAGGCTAGAGAGAGCCAGGAGGGGTCGCGACTTGCGGGGACCGCGTGCTGCAAATGCAAAAAAGCAGGACGTCACATGTCTGGGGAGGAAGAAGGAGGAGGAAAGAGGAAGGAGGAAAGAGGAAGGAGGAAGGAAGCAGAAGGGGAGGAGGAAGGAGGCGGAGGAGGAGGAGGAGGAGAAGGGAGGAAGAGGAGGAGGAGGAGGAGGAGGAGGAGGAGGAGGTGGAGGAGGAGGAGGAGGAGGAGGAGAAGGGAGGAGGAGGAGAGGTGAGGAGAAGGAGAGGAGGAGGAAGGAGGAGGAAGGAGGAGGAAGGAGAGCAGAAGGGGGAAGGAGGAGGGATGAGGAAGGATGAAGGGCGGCCCTGGGCGCGCAGTGCCTCCGCGGACGTTGGGGGGATCGAGGATGGTCGGGGAGCGTCCCTGCGGGGGCCCCAGGCGGCTCCAGAGCTGCCCCCCCGCGGGCCCCGAAGGCGCACGGAGGGCGCACACCTCTGTCGGCCAGCGTGTGCTCTTGCCCCCGCCGTCAGCGCACGCCCGACCTTCTGTGGGGGAGCATCGCGCAGGGTCGGGGAAACCAAAAGAGATCCGAGGATCCGATTTTGTCGATCTGGAGGTCTGTCCTCGGTTTCGGTCTCTGGGGGGGAGGAGGAGGAGGAGGAGGAGGAGGAGGAGGAGGAGGAGGAGGAGGAGGAGGAGGAGGAGGAGGAGGAGGAGGAGAAGGGAGGAGAAGGGAGGAGGAGGAGGAGGAGGAGCAGGAGGAGGAGGAAGAGGAGGAGGAGGAGGAGGAGGGGGAGGGAGGGGCCCGTCGTCGGGACACACGGATCCGGGACGAGAAGCCATCGCCAATAGAAGGAGTCGGGACCTCTGGGGCCGCGCCGCGGATTGAAACGATCACATCGGCGGATGTCTGGGGAGTATGGCAGTGGACCGCCCTCCAGGGGGGCAGGAGCAGGAACGGGGGGAGGAAGGCCGGTCTGCCAACAACTCAAAGGGGGAGCCCATGGCCATGCGTGGCTTCGAGGTGGGTCCTGCGGGCAGGAGGCCCCCCCACCCCCCCTCGCACGAACTCTTGCGCTTGCCCTTGGGCTCCTCCCTGGAGGATGGCCGAAAGGCGGCCTGCCTAGTATCTCCTTCGTTTGGTGCTCGCATGTGCCACATCACCACGACTCGCGCAGAACAGCATCCGATCGTGAAGCGTGATGCGGATGAGTACATCGCTCTGCGGAGCCTGCGGAGCGGCTGTGCGCAATCACCCGCTATACAGTTCCCTGCCGCCTTCTTTCCACCCAGCAGAACCTTTTTAAGAACAAACGTGAACTTTCATGGGCTCCAGATTTCGCGTAAGAGTTTCAAGAGTCTGGACTGCACCTTGGTCGCTTAATAAAGTCAAGAGTGTGGACTGGGGCCTGGACGTTTTTTTGTGTCAGTAGATCTGGGCCATCACTTAGCGTATTTTTTGGTACCTCTAAATGTCGGCGGCGGGACCGGGGGGGAAGTGAGAAGGGGCGGGCCTTCTCTGAAGGTTCGGAAGCCCCTCGTCCTCCGAAACGTGTTCCGAGCCTTCCCGGAAGACACAAGACAACTTCTCAGGAGGCGCGAGGGATTCTGAGAAGTCCCGCCGCCTTCTGAGAAGACCTTCTCCTTCTCACTTCCCCCCGCGGGCGCGCCGCCGAATACATCGGTTAAACTCGGCCCCACGGCCCCTCCTGGGGTCCAGCCGACGCGGCTGTTCATCCCAGATCGCGTTTCCGGGGTCCCTGGGCCCGAAAATTGCCCCCAGAGGCCCGGACAACATGGACCAACCGCCTCGAACCTCGAGCCCCGAGGTTCGAACCTCGAGGTCCCCCCCCCTCGCCCGCGCGCCGGCATGGATTAGGGCCTCCGTGGTTCTGGCGCGCGCTGCTATTGCGTATGGTGGTGATGGTGATGCTGCTGCGGATGACTGTTGATGATGATGATGATGGTGACGGTGATGGTGATGATGGTGGTGATGGTGATGAT